AGAAAATTAAACTCAAACTTTATTTATTTTTTGCATTGAACGAGAAGAGAGAGCTTCGATTGGATTTGAACAAATTCGCAGTTTGAAATAAATTTAATTCTTGGAATTTATTAACATCTTTTTCAGATTATTAACATCTAAATGTATGAATCATTCGATAAATTAATTGTCCGCATATTTAATTATTGGTGAGATCAAGATTATATTTATAATTTAAATTTCGAATATATCGACGAATCGTATTTTTTTAATTCTAAGTTAAGTGGAATATATAAATTCTGATAAAATTTTTTAGTTTCGAACATTAAATATCTCAAATACGTCATTCATCAAATTTGCATTTAAAAATGTCGAATTTGTATTTTAAAAAATCGTTCATTTTTCGATATATAGTTCGAAACTGAATTGTTTGATTTTAATTTTCTCTTAACTTCTTTTTCTTTTTTATTAAATGTAGTGACAGAGTAATTACCAATGAGATAAGATGCTGTTGCCGAGATATTTATCTTACAACTTGTATGATTGCAGATTTATCCATCATACATTAATTTACACGAAGATGAGAATGACCATTTACTCTTGGACATGGATTCTTTGCTTCCCAGACGAAGCAACTTCTTAGCAAGTCGCGGTTGCGAACTGGATAATAAGAAATGTTTACTCGGTAATGCATAACAGGAAAAATGATATCAAATCGATTGACAAGAAGGGTATAATTGCAAAATCATAGAACAAAACAAATTTTACATTTTATTTTCTTATTATTCGAATCTTCTTTTATTCTTTTTCTCATATAATTATCTAAATTTTAATTGATTTTTTTTTTTAAATAAGTTTACCTTGAATCTTAATCAGCGTTTGAGGAAAGTCATTTTAGTTACTCATGCAATTTAAAAAAATTATAATTTTTTTAAAACTACGGCGCGCAAACGATTACGATAATTTATTTATTTTCGAAAAAAAATTTATTTATTTTCGATTAACAAAATTATAAAAAAATTTCATAAAATTAATAGAGTATTTTTCAAGAAAAAAGTATATATAAAAACTTTGAAGATTGTTTTGAAGATTATTTCAAAAGTTTATTTTGGTTCATAATCTTATATTTCTTACAATGATTCATCTTTTTTTTTCTCGTCCAGTTTAAATCAAGGTCGTACCTAGAGAGTACTATGAGATAACAAATATTAAATAAAAATTTGTAACGTTTTTTAATTTCGTGATAATTTGCTT